TACAGGAACCTCGAGCCACACATGGCTGGTGTGGTCATTGCACTGCATGTGTTATGCACAGCAGATGCCAAAAGACTGGTACAAAAGGGAATGCAAAAAGCCCACCACACCTTGGGAGGCCGAGGCTGCTGGATCTCTTGAGCTCAGCAGTTCAGGACTAGCCAGGACAACACGGGGAGACCCAATCTCTACAAAAAATACAAAAATTAGCAGGGCATGGTGGCACACATCTGTAGTTCCAGCTGCTTGGGAGGCTGAGGTTGGAGGATAGCTTGAGCCTGGGAGGTTGAGGTTGCAGTGAGCTGTGACTGCACCACTGCACTCAAGCCTGGGTGAGAGAGTGAGACCCTGTCTCAAAAATAAACAGAAAACCCCGAAGTGAATGAGGCTGGGCATTGGTTCACACCTGTAATCCCAACACTTTGGGAGGCTGAGGCAGGAGCATCACTTGAAGCTCGGAGTTTGAAACCAGCCTGAGCAACCGCAAGACCCCACCCATCTCTACAAACAAGAAAAAGAACAAAGGTGAACGCAACATCTTACGAATAACTTATGTACTGATTACATATTGAAATAATACGTTGGATATTTTAGATTGATTAAAGTATTTGAGCTAATTCTGCATTTTCTTTTACTACTTACTTATTTTTGAGACAGAGTCTTTCACCTAGGCTGGAGTGCAGTGGCGCACTCATAGCTCACTGCAGCCTCAACCTCCTGGGATCAGGCAATCCTCCCACCTCCTCTTAAGTAGCTGGGACTACAGGTGCACACTGCCACACCTGGCTAATTTTTTGATTTTTTTGTAGAGATGGAGGTCTCACTGTGTTGGCCCAGCTGGTCTCTAGCTCCTGGCCTCAAAGTACCCGCCTTGGCCTCCCAAAGTACTGGAATTACAGGCGTGAGCCACTGACCCCCGCTGAGCCAGGCTGTTTTTCACATTCAATGGTCATTGACTATCTTTGGACTTAGGAGGGCCCTCCAGGGACCAGGCCTAGGGGCATCAGTCACCCCGCCCTCACACCCCAACCTGCAGGCACACTTGGTTCAATCCCACTGTCTAGCCCGTGTGACTTAGCGGCGCCTCCCGAGGGAGCAGGGCTAAGCCAAGCTGGTTTTCCCACAGCACAGCATTGCAGGCCACTCTATTCTGGGCCTTCTCATCCTTCATAAACTGAGGAGGCCTGAACAGGGCTCCCCAGTAACCCCGAGAGCACGCAATTCCTGAAGATTTCCAGGATTTTCTTAACATCAATTATGGCTTAAAGTTATGTTGGTTTCACATTTACAGGATTTGTCAACCCTGTCAGATTTAAAGATAAGCATTATTAGCCAGGCGTGGCCCCATGCTTGTCATCCCTGCTACTTCGCATGAGTTTGGGGCAGCAATGAACTGTGATTGCATCACTGCACTCTAGCCCAGGTGACAGAGCAAGACTCAGTCTCTAAACACCCCTCCACCACCACTTAAAAAAAACCAAACAACAAAACATCATTTGCTCTTTTCTGCTTCCCCCTCATCCTTGTTTCCAGAACGGACCGGGTCATTACTGAGGGGAGGAGAGGAAACTCAGATGGCAGCAAACTGAAGGGAAGGCGGCTCTGCGTCAGGCCCAGGTCTGCGGCCTGCTATGCCGCTGGCTGTGGGGAGCTAGGCATTAGTAACCTCGAGAGCACATGGGCGCCTAAGCACCCAGGTTAGGCCGCGGCTACAGAAGATCTGCCTCTGTCTGGCCTGGCCTGCGGAGGGACTGTGGCCTCAGGAGGATGCTGGCCCAGTAGGAGCTGCTGCAGGGTGGCGGGTCCTGTCTGCTCATGGAAGATAGAATCCTCAGCCCTTGACCAGTCAGTGGAGACTAGAATAATGGCAGTTTGTACCACAAGAGACGCGTGGTGACTGTTCTCTGCTTTGTGCCATTTTCACAAGTCACTGCTGGGCTGAGGTAGCCAAATGTCACCCACCACGTGTTCTTGACTGCGCTCGTCCTTGACTCAGGGCAACCCCGACTCCATCTTTGTTGAGTCAAGTGTGCCAAGCTGTTCCAAGCAGGACACTGCTATAACCCTCACCACCGACCAGGCAAGAATGAGCAAAGATCTCATTCTCTGAGGAAGAACTGCCCAGAAACTCCTAAGGAGGGCTGTCCTATCCCTGCAGGGCATGGGGAGAACTTTGTGGTACTCGCATCGGAAGGGAGCTAGAGGTACCTCTGGAAGAGCCAGGGTCCTCGGCATCTCAGACACAGGAGTCTCTGCTTGTTCAAGGTGACAGATGGTGAAACAGAAATGACCTAATGGATCCCTAAACACCCAGTTACATCTTTTCTCCAGGAATGCAGTTTCCCATTGCAGGCTATTTGACTACACTTGATGAGAGGCCAGGGAAGGACCAGGATTGAGGCTGGGCGTTCTGTTGGCTGAACCCTTGTCTGGAGTCACCCTGAAAGTGGTGGCAGGGGAGTTCCTGCAAGGGACCGCCCCAAACCTTTCCAGGATGAGAGCCAGTTGGGATTCCAAAGGAAGAAACAATGCCAGAGTGGTCAGTCCAAAGCATTTGTTAGGGACTTACATACAGAGGGGGCGGCAGTGTGCCCCCATGAGGGGCAGCCGGGAAAGAGGTTATGCCTGGGCACACCGCACTGAGGGGGTGGGGTGTGGAGCTTCTATGAGAGTGCAAGGAATTTGGCTGGGGTGGGACCGGTTTCCACATGCTTAGCAACGTATCAGATAGCAACATGTCAGATCTTTCAGTGTTCCAGGTAACAACCTAAACCTGTGTCAGTGTCTGGGAAGATGCAAGCCCCAGCCAGGGTTCCAGCCTGCAGGGGGAACATGTAGCTGATTAGGTCAGAGTAGTCAAGGCACTCCCTCAGTCAGGACAAAGGAAACGCTGGGGGGACGAAATGGGGGACCCAACACTGAGGCAGGGGACACATGCCCTGTTTAGAGCCCATGGGGCAGACCCTGCCAGGCCAGAGCAGGGGAGAGCCCTGACCAAGGCACTCTGCACAGCGAGCCTGCCACCCGGGTACATTTGTACCTGGCAGGGTCCTCTCAGTCAGTCTTGCTGATGCTGTCAACACCCTGAGCCCAGGGAAATCCATCCCATTAAAATAAAGCTCTGGCCCAAGTGTGGCTGCAGATCTTTCTTGGCCATCTTAAAGTGTAAAGTAAGCAAATTACAAATCAAAGAATCTCTGAACCAGTGGTCTTCATCCGAGAAAGACACTGGTGGTCAGAAAGTCTCAAGCATTCAGACTGTGGCAGGAACCCTGTCGTGGAATCTGGCAGCTAAACCCGAAAGCAAGAGGGTTGACCACTGTTTGCGGAACACTCGGGTAGGTAGGAAACAATCAAAGAGCTTCCAAAATCAAAATCAGAAGCCCTATTCCAGGACTTGGTGACTGCAGTACTTCCTGCCCGTCACCATCTGGGGCAGCTCAGATGTACAGTCCAGCATGAATGCACCTTGAGGATGAGGCAGCGTGTCCCTGCTGCTGCTGCCGCTGCCGCTGCTGGCACCATCAGGGCAGACTAGGTTTGCTGTCCAGGCCAGGTGTGCACCAGCCGCACCTACCTTTCCCTAAATGGACCTGTGGCATGTGTCCTTTCAAAATGTTCCCTTGGCAGTGTGCTCCTTGCATGGCTTTGCTCCTGGGACACATCCTAAAGGGTCCCCTGCACACTGCCAAGGGCTTCTGGGGCATGACCTGTCTTTAGTGGTTCTGAGTCTCAGGACTGGGGCTGACGCAGAGCCTCTAGCTGAAGCAGCCTTGATGGAAGTGTGTAGACACAAATGTTGCCCAAGGAGCACGAGTACCACAGGTGCTGCAGTTATGGGGCTCACCCATTCCTAATCATTGTGCTTTGTGTCTCCTCAGGAAGAAACAAAGGCAGCGCTGCCCTCGGGGGAGCATTGGCCCTGGCGGAACGCAGCACCCGCGAAGGATCCAGCCAGAGGATGCCACGCCAGCCCAGCGCTACCAGACTGCCCAAGGGAGGCGGGCCTGGGAAGAGCCCTACGCGGGGCAGCACCTAGGATGGGGCAGAGACTTGTCACATCTTTGTTCCCAGCAAAGGCTACATGTTATCTCCTTCAGTTGATAATAAACCTTTCTGAGATGCAGAGGGTCCAGGTCAGACGTTCTCTACCTTTTCTTTTTTATATTAAGGCACAGACTTAGAATGAGTTTTTTGTGCCAGTCCTGGTTGTGCCACAGCAAACTAACGGGATCCCTTCACCATGGGTCAACTTCCTAAACCTAATTTGTGTTCTGAGAAAAGGTATCTGGACTGCCAGGTCTTTTATAAACATGTCAACAAGCTTCACTTGAAATGAAATGTGGGAGGTTTTTTTGTTTGTTTGTTTTTAAGAGACGGAGTCTCTGTTGCCCAGGCTGGAGCGCAGTGGTGTGATCTCAGCTCACTGCAAGCTCCGCCTCCCAGGCTCACGCCTTTCTCCTGCCTCAGCCTCCCGAGTAACTGGGACTACAGGTGCCCGCCACCACGCCCAGCTAATTTTGTTGTATTTTTAGTAGAGACGGGGTTTCACCGTGTTAGCCAGGATGGTCTCGATCTCCCACCTCATGGGAGGTTTTCTACCAAGACAGCTGACAGTGCTGAGGGACAGGGTGGCTGTGTGTGTGCAGAGAGGGCGAGTGCTGCCCTCCAGGTTACGGTGGAGCACTGGGGTCAGCATGGATGTGTTGTGACCTTCTGTGGGTCATGAATGCTGTGCAGAACTTGGTTAATACCTTTTCCCCCTCTAAAATGTCCTGACCTTACACATGTGACCCACAGCTTTAGAGACTTCACAGACAAGCCCCATCCACAGACCTCCAACACTTCACTTCTAGTCTCTTCCTTTTAGCCAGCATGACCCATCAATAAAGAAGCCCAAAAACTCGCAAATTCAATTGAAAACCCTGACTCTGCTTTCCTAGAATTTAGGAAATCTATACTTTGAACGCTTGGCTTTGAAGAAACACTGTTTTCCCCTGGTCAGTTTACTTCCGTGGCAGCTGCTTAAGTATGTACAGTCCTGCTGCACCCAACCCCACGCCAGGAGGGCAGGCTGGCACCCCACTGCTGTCCATGTAGTCTCTGGGGTCCCACCAGCTCCTGTAAGGCAGAACTAAGCTGCATGACACACAGAGGTCTTGGTTTTGTACAGAACCTTTAATTGCAAACAACTTGAAAGCAGCCATCCTGGGGGTGGCAGGGGAGAACTCACCACACCCTCCCCTCAGTATTCTTCGCCTTCTTCAGCCTCGGCTTCCACGGAATCCACGCCCACCTCTTCATAATCCTTCTCCAGAGCTGCTAGGTCCTCTCGGGCCTCAGAGAACTCTCCCTCTTCCATGCCTTCGCCCACGTACCAGTGCACAAAGGCCCGCTTGGCATACATGAGATCGAACTTATGGTCCAGGCGGGCCCAGGCCTCCGCGATAGCCGTGGTGTTGCTCAGCATGCACACGGCCCGCTGCACCTTGGCCAGGTCTCCCCCGGGGACCACTGTGGGGGGCTGGTAGTTAATGCCCACCTGCCGGAGAAGGGAAAGAAAGCAGTCTGTGAAGCTTATATCAAACCTAGAAATGGTAGCTACTTTTCCTCAAACAGAAGACACCCTGTGGGTGACAAGGAGAATACTCAGTTCACCTCACAAACGTCACTAAGCCCTTCTCTATGCCAGGCAGGGTGATAGTTCCAGATGAAGAACAGAGAAAGGAACCTTGGAGGTAGCCACCCTGGTGGGACCCTAAGCTACCTAAAGGGCTGTGTCCTAGTACCCGTGACATGTGATAGGTGCCCAGGTGAAGACAGTCTTCCCTCTGAAAATGTATGCTGCTTGTCTTCTTTGTAGATTACAATTAAATCCTGTAGCTAAACTTTTTCCACCCAGATAGATGCAGAGTACACAACTCTTCCCCATGCTATCACAAGGAACATCATACCCACTTCTGACCCACAAAACAAGCCACTGTGGATATGCAAAGGTAGCTGATCATGGGTCAAGAGTCATATGAATGCTGCTACCGCAGCATCAGGAAGTAGTCAAAGTGGTCCATGTGCCTGCCTAAGTAGGGGGTGGCATTCCAAGGTGGTAACCAAAGGGGAAGCATTCCAAGTTTCAGAACTCAGGATTAACATGACCTGAGGTCCTGGCAGCAGTGCACAGGGTCAACTAGAGCAGGGATCAGCACACTTGTTCTATAAATGACAACATCAGGCCAGGTGTGGTGGCTCAAGCCTGTGACCCCAGCACTTTGGGAGACTGAGGCACGCAGATCACGTGAGGCCAGGGGTTTGAGACCAGCCTGGCCAACATGGCGAAACCCCATCTCTACTAAAAATACAAATATTAGCTGGGTGCAGTGGCTCATGCCTGTAATCCAGCACTTGGGAGGCTAAGGCCGGTGGATCACCTGAGGCCAGGAGTTCGAGACCAGCCTGGCCAACATGGCAAAATCCCATCTCTACCAAAAATACAAAAATTAGCAGGTGCCTGTAATCCCAGCTACTTGGGAGGCTCAGGCAGAGAAGTTCTTGAACCTGGGAGGTGGAGGATGCAGTGAGCCAAGATCGTGCCACTGCATTCCAACCTGGGTGACAAAGCGAGACTGCCTCAAAAAAAAAAAAAAAAAAAAATTTCCCAGGCATGGTGGTGCATGTCTGTGGTCCCAGCTACTCAGGAGGCTGAGGTGAGAGAATCACTTGAGCCTGAGGGCAGAGGTTGCAGTGAGCCAGGATCACACTACTGTACTCCAGCCTGGGGTACAAAGCAAGACCCTATCTCAAAAAATAAATAAATAAATAAATATCACCACAGATATATAGTGTGATGACTCAGAAAGAGAGTTCAAAAGACATCACTGGGCTGGGCGCAGTGGCTCACAACTGTAATCCCAGCACTTTGGGAGGCTGAGGTGGGCAGATCACCTGAGGTCAGGAGTTCAAGACCAACCTGGCCGACATGGTGAAACCCCGTCTCTACTAAAAATACAAAAATTAGCCGGGTGTGGTGGCGGGCGCCTGTAATCCCAGCTACTTGGGAGGGTGAGGCCGGAGAATTGCTTGAACCCGGGAGGCAGAGGTTGCAGTGAGCTGAGATCATACCACTGCACTCCAGCCTGGTCAACAGAGCAAGACAGTCTCAAAAAAAAAAAAAAGAAAAAAAAAAAAATCAGTGAATCAATTATCAACTCTGGTTCACTACTTTATGCCCACATGCCTAGCCCATGGAACAGGGATAGTCTCCCCAAAGGATGCGGGCCTTCAGGGACAGTGTTATTTTGTGCGTCTGCTGCTTGCTAAAAGGCCTACACATCACCCAGTCATACCTTAAATCCAGTCGGGCACCAATCCACAAACTGGATGGTGCGCTTGGTCTTGATGGTGGCGATGGCCGCGTTGACGTCTTTGGGGACCACGTCCCCCCTGTACAACATGCAGCAGGCCATGTACTTGCCATGGCGAGGGTCACACTTGACCATCTGATTGGCTGGCTCGAAGCAGGCATTGGTGATCTCGGCCACCGACAGCTGCTCGTGGTAGGCCTTCTCGGCTGAGATGACTGGGGCGTAAGTGGCCAGGGGGAAGTGGATGCGGGGGTACGGCACTAGGTTGGTCTGGAATTCCGTCAAGTCCACATTCAGGGCCCCATCGAATCGCAGGGAGGCTGTGATGGAGGACACGATCTGCCCAATCAGGCGATTGAGGTTGGTGTACGTGGGACGCTCGATGTCCAGGTTGCGCCGACATATGTCATAGATGGCTTCATTGTCGACCATGAAGGCGCAGTCAGAATGTTCCAGGGTCGTGTGGGTGGTCAGGATGGAGTTGTAGGGCTCCACCACGGCCGTGGAGACCTGGGGGGCTGGGTAAATGGCAAACTCTAGCTTGGACTTCTTGCCGTAATCCACTGAGAGCCGCTCCATGAGCAGAGATGCAAACCCAGAGCCAGTGCCGCCCCCAAAGCTGTGGAAGATGAGGAAGCCCTGCAGTCCCGTGCACAGATCCGCCTGAGAGAAACCAGACAACATGAGTCAATGGCCGTGGAAGCCACACCACCAACCTCCAACAAGCCAAGGCCACTTCTCTTTGCCTCTGAAGACTTGATATGGATTCAAATCATCCATAATAAACACGTAGTACACCTTGAAGCAAAGAAAAGCAGACAAAGATCTACAGACAAATCACCATTGCAGACTCAGTAGGACTCAAGATGCTGGTCTAAGTTGTTGTTTGTTTGCTTGTTTGTGATGGAATCTTGCTGTTGCCCAGGCTGGAGTGCAGTGGTGCAATCTCAGCTCACTGCAACCTCTGCCTCCCAGGTTCAAGCAATTCTCCTGCCTCAGCCTCTCAAGTAGCTGGGAGTACGGGTGTGCACCACCACACCCAGCTAATTTTTGTATTTTTAGTAGACATAGAGTTTCACCATGTAGGCCAGGCTGGTCTCAAACTCCTGACCTCAGGTGATACACCCACTTCAGCCTCCCAAAGTGCTGGGATTACAAGTGTGAGTCACCATGCCCGGCCAACATGCTGATCTAAATTTTGATAAAATGACCTCCCTTTCACCTTCCAAGAACTACCCTCCCATGCAAGACAATGGCCACATGAAACCTTCTCTTCTTACCAGTTTGCGGATCCGGTCCAGGACTAGGTCAACAATCTCCTTGCCGATGGTGTAATGGCCTCTGGCGTAATTATTGGCTGCATCTTCTTTCCCAGTGATCAGCTGCTCTGGGTGGAAGAGCTGCCTGTAGGTCCCTGTGCGCACTTCATCTACAAAAGAGACAGTGTGTGCTGTGAATCTTTAAGGCCTGTACTCACCAAGATGGACACATTTCAGGACTGTTCACTTCTACAGAGTACATGCTGGTCAAAGTACATGACCTACAAGTCATAGGTCAACAGTGGCAGCATCTGGTAGACAATGTCTCTGTGTGATAACCAAACTGCATATGCAATCTATGACTTTACGAAGTTACACTCAGCTTGTGGTATAAATGTCAGCAGACCAGTTCCTAGTGAAAGGAAATAAGCTCTTGCACTCCTACGCAGGTACATAATTCTTTCCTACGTGTAGCAACGTCAAAGGCTATAAGTTAAAAACTCTTACAACCTGGGAAGTCACCAGATCAGTGTGACTTCTGCAGGGCAGTCCCATCAGGGCACCCTGGATGACCTGGGTCTCACAGGCTTTCAGGTGATGCTGTCATTTCCTGGGGGGGCCACTGAAAGGTGCTGCCTCTTGGCAGCTGTCTTTGGAAACTACCTCAGGCCGCTATTCTGAAGTAAGCAAATGACTGTTCTGTACTTACCTTCTATGCCTAAGATGCAGCTCAAGACTCTCGTGCACCAGCATAAAAGAGTGCAGAGCATTCAGGAGGGAACCAAGGCTACTGCACCCTGCAGGCAGGGCCATCTGAGCAGGGCTGAGGCAGCCACAAGGGAATCCCTCCACAGCCCATCTTACTGCTGGCAAAGCAGCTTTTCCCTGTAGGTCAGGTTTTCCTAGATTAGGAGCCAAGTCTCACAGACGCTTTCATCACGAACCTTTCAGTTTCTCTCCTAACAACGCCACGGGCATATGCCTGTCCATCCCATCCTTTTGGCAGGAGGATTCAAAGGAACCCACGCGGGACTTTAACACTGCTCTCCCACCCTCTCAGGAAAGTTGCCATCCAGTGCCCAGGCACCTACCGACCACAGTGGGCTCCAGGTCCACAAACACTGCTCTGGGCACATGCTTGCCAGCCCCAGTCTCACTGAAGAACGTGTTGAAGGAGTCGTCCCCGCCACCAATGGTTTTATCACTTGGCATCTGACCATCGGGCTGAATTCCATGTTCAAGGCAGTACAGTTCCCAGCAGGCATTGCCGATCTGGACACCCGCTTGCCCCACGTGGATAGAGATACACTCGCGCTGTGAACCGGAACATAAATGTGAACCCGTTCATTTCAAGGCAACTTGAAGCTATATGGCATGCAAAATATTTTAATATTTATATAGTGCTTCAGTATCTGGTGCTTTCACAGTTGGTATTTCCTAGGAGGATTAGGGGACTGATCCCTTCATCCCTGTGAAAACTAACTTGCTGTAAACCATACTAGCTACTAAGTTCTATAGGTAGCCCTAGAACCTGTTTTCCACTACACAAAAATTAGGTTATTTTAAAACTTGGAAGCCATGTAATGTCAATAATCAACCCCACATTATAGCCAGTCACAGTAATTCTCTGAAGAATATATAGCAGTTTTTGATTATGTCCTGATCAAAGGATAAGGTAGTTGGGTTGGGGAAGGAAATACAGAGTAGGTCTCAGGTCCCCATGGTCCAAGCCCAGGTGCTCAGTGTGTGTCCTCTCTCTGCTCCCCAGATCTACCCTCCATCATTCACCATCTGCTCTGTGCTCTTGGAGGTTGACCCTTGAGAACAGCATCAGAGGCCTTCCTTGCCCTCTGGCTTCTTGCTGGTTTGGTCAATGGCAGGCAGCAGTGGGATACTGGGGGCTGGAGCAGAGCAACGCCAGGGTACTCCCTCCTTGGCCCCTTCCTGCTCAACTGCTGTGGGTGACCTGAATCCCTCTTAAGGCCACACTTTTGGCAGGTTGCCCTCTCAATTTCTTGTAACCACTCCCTCTCTCCACCCCTTGAAGCCTACAGGTGTAATGGCTCCCAGACATCATCAGTGCTGGGACACTGCACTGTCCTTTGGTGGCTTCTTTAAACCCTGCCAAGCCAGGTGTGGTGGCTCATTCCTGTAATCCCAGCACTCCAGAAGGCTGAGGCGAGAGGATTGCTTGGGACCAGCTTGAGACCAGCCTGTGAAAAATTTACAAATTAGCCAGGTGTGGTGGCACACACCTGTAGTACCAGCTACTCGGGAGGCTGAGGCAGGAGAACTGCTGGAACCCAGGGGTTCAAGGCTGCAGGGAGCCATGATCCCGCAACTGTGCTCCAGCCTGGGCAACAGAGCATCTGTTGAGTGCTGTCAAAAAAAAAAAAAAAAAAGAAAAGAAAAAAAAGGATAACTGACAAACCACAGGTATTCAGACTTGGGACTTGGGAATCTGTTATGTTAATGGGTTGCTTTTTTGGTTTTTTTGAGGCAGGGTCTCTGTGGCCCAGGCTGGAGTGCAGTGGCACCAGCAGGACTCACTGCAGTCTCAAACTTCCAGGCTCGGCTGATCCTCCCACCTCAGCCTCCCGAGTGGCTGGAACCACAGTCCCGCATCACCACGCCCGGGGAATGTTTGTATTTTTTTGTAGAGCCCGGGTTTCGCCACGTTGGGTCAGGCTGGTCTTGAACTCCAGACGTCAGGTGATCCATCCGCCTCCACCTCCCCAAGGGCTGGGATTCCAGGCGTGAGCCACCGCGCCTGGCCTAACGTGTTGCCTCTGGGCGAACGAGGCAACGTTTCAGCAGCGTCTGAGCCTTAATTCCCAATCGGACCCACGTCCACAGCCCCAGCCCCGTCAGCGAAGGCTCCTCAGTCGCTGCCGGCAGCACAGACTCGTGCACTCCGACGTGGAGACTGGAAAGCGGGAGCAGAGCCCTCCGTCTTCAGCAGGCGACGCCACTATTTGCTCTCTGGGGACGGGACACCGTCCATGGTCCCCGTCCACCGACTGAAGACCCGCAGCTTCATTTAACACGGTGAAACCCCGTCTCTACTAAAATATACAAAAAACTAGCCGGGCGAGGTGGCGGCGCCTGTAGTCCCAGCTACATGGGAGGCCGAGGCAGGAGAACGGCGTCAAGCCGGGAGGCGGAGCTTGCAGTGAGCCCAGATCACGCCAGCCTGGGCGTGCATTCCAGCCTGGGCTACAGAGCGAGACTCCGTCTCAAAAAAAAAAAAAAAAAAAAGGCCGCCGTCCCTGCCCTGGGACCTGCAGATCCCGGAGACGATTCCGTGTCCTCCTGTCCCGCACTAGACCCCGCGTCCTTCTCCAGCTTCCTCCCAGCTCAGCGCCCAGGCCCGCAACAACGTCCCTCCGTCCGCCCGAGGCCAGCTTCGTCTGCCTGGGCGTCTGCGGGGCGGGAAGGACCCGGGTCTTACCATGGCGAACTCCGCCGCTTCAGCCCGACGCTGCTTCCAGACCTCAACCGGCTGCCGCAGCTGCTCAGAGCCAACTGCAACCGTCTGCCCGCGCGCGCTGCACGGGACTGGCCCGCCGCTGCCAGGCTGCCATTGGCTTGGAGTTCCTGGGAGGCGGGCCGAGGGCCGGGTCCCAGTTCTGATTGGCCGTTGCTGAACACGTGGAGTGGGGACGCTCTCTGATTGGATGCAGGATTGGCGGGAAGGCAGCGGGGTCATGAAAGGCTTGGCGGGTGCCGAGGCATTTCCGGGGCGTCTTCTGACCGGGGTTGGAACAGCTACTGCAGGGCTTTTGTGGGTCACGGAACATCGCCTTGCTCCCAGTGTGCCGCTGCCCCCTCCCTGAATGCCCCGAGCCTGCTCCTCTCCAAGCCTTTTTCAGATCTTTGCAAACAAGGCTGCTTCTGAGAGGCCTTCCCGCCATCTACCCAAGTCACAGCAGCGCTGCAATCACCCCCTTTCCCTGTTCCCACCCAGCACCCAGGAAGTGACAGGATTCAATCCCTTTTGTGACCCAAAAGGAGAAAACGGGCTGGGCGCGCTGGCTCAACCCTGCAATCCAGCACTTCGGCCAAGGCCGAGGCAGGTGGAGCACCCGAGGTCAACAGTTCCCCGAGACAAGCCTGGCCAACATGGTGAAAACTCGTCTCTACTAAAAATGCAAAAATTACCCGGACTAGTGGTCGGCACCTGTAATCCCAGCTACATGGGAGGCTGAGGTAGGAGAATTGCTTGAACCTGGGAAGCAGATGTTGCAGTGAGCCGAGATTAGACCACTGCACACTCCAGCCTGGGCAACAGAGCCAGACTCCGTCTCAAAAAAAAAAAAAAGGAAGGAGGCAAAATTAGCTTAAGTGGAGAGGTTGTGCCAGGCACAGCGGCTCATGCCTGTAATTCCAGTGCTTTGGGAGGCCACGACAGGAGGATCGCTTCAGGTCAGGAGTTCGAGACCAGCCTGGGCAATGTAGTGAGACCCACCTTGCCCGTTTCTACAAAAAATAAAATAAAATTAGCAAAGCATGGTGGCACACGCCTGTAATCCCAGCTACTCAGGAGGCTGAGGCAGGAGAATTCCTTGAACCTGGGAGGCAGAGGTTGCAGTGAGCTAAGATCGCACCACTGCACTCAAGCCTGGGTGACGGAGCGAAACGCCATCTTGAAAAAAAGAGTTTATTTGTGCCAAGTTTGAGAAGTGCAACCCTGGAGATGCAAGTTGTCTTAATACACACCTCTAATTAGCAGCAGTTACAAGTGGGTTTTTAAAGGAAAAGAAGAGACAATTCCTAAGTTACCAAGAATTTTGAAATTAGTGAGGAAGTCTTGCTGTGTTGCCTAGGCTGGTCTTGAACTCCTGACCTGAAGGGATCATCCCACCTCGGCTGGCCTGGCCTGAGGAATTTGTATTAAAATAACATAAGCTATTTATTGGGCCGGGCGTGGTGGCTCACACCTGTAATCCCAGCACTTTGGGAGGTCAAGGCGGGAGGATGACTTGAAGTCAGGAGTTCGAGACCAGCCTGGCCAACATGATGAAACCCTGTCTCTACCAAAAATACAAAAATTAGCCAGGCGTGGTGGTGAGCGCCTATAGTCCCAGCTACTTGAGAGGCTGAAGTAGGATAATCACTTGAACCCGGGAGGTGGAGTTTGCAGTGAGCCAAGATCACACCATTGCAGTCCAGCCTGGGCAACAGAGTGAGACTCCATCTCAGAAAAAAAAAAAAAAAAAAAAAAAAGCTATTTGTTGTCTCTATATTGTCTATATTGTCTTTTGTATCACAAATTCCAGGAACAGGAAGATAATGGGTTAAGCTAGTTAGAAACAAAATGCCTTTAAACAGTCACCCCGGGGCATGGGTATGAGGGGTGTGACTGAAGTCCGTATTCCTGTCTTTTTGGGCCTGATAAATTCTGCCCACCTCACATAACTCAAAGTGCTGTGAATGCTTTTTCTTTTCTCATCTCTTTAGTGGGAAGGAGTGGGTTTATGGCCACCAGGAAAGGGGAAGTCACACCCCTGTCCCCAGAAGAGCAGAGTGGGGACCCAATACCCATTTTGGAGGAGTTTGGAACAATCACCTGATTCTTCCTTTTTATTTATTTGTTTTTTTGACACTGGTTCTCACTATGTTGACCAGGCTGGACTCAAATTCCTGGGTTGAAGTGAAGCCTCAGCCTTCCTTGTAGGCTGGGACTACGGGCGTGTGATTCTTCGCGGTTTGATTCTTCCATTCCTAAAGATCATCTTAACAGTGTGCATTCAGTTCTGGGAAAAGCACCAGTAGAGACGTACTGGCTTACCCCAGCGCATCACTAGGATGCCGCATCCCATCGTGGCACCTCCCTAGAGGGTGGCCAAGCAGGCCCTTAACTTTCCCTCCTGAGACGAGAGCAGAGCAGAGACAGGGAGCTGTCCACCAGTGGGATGAGACTCATGAGGTCCAGGAGTTGAGACTTTTCTATGGCCTTTGGGGACCTCTGGAGAGTGCGATCAGGTCTGCCCTTAGAAGGATGCTTTGGCAGAAGGTGGAGGGGCAGGGACCGAATTCTGCGGACAGCCAGGAAAGTCAGAGGAGACCACCGGCCCCGCCTCTTCTCCCCAGGAGGGCGAATCCTTCTGTATTAGTCAGCCCCAGGCACCCTAAAAAAATACCATTGACTGAGTGGCTTAAATAACAGGGTTTTATTTTCTCACAGTTCTGGAGGCTAAAAGCCCCAGAGGCCTCTTCCTGGTTTGCACACAGCCACCTTCTCACCATGTCCTCCCGTGGGAAGGTAGCA